ATGCCGAGAGAAAAACGCCCTTTGCATAGACTCTGTTGGTTTGTAGGGGTTATAGAATCCGCCGACCTGGACGTTGATGTCGAAGAACACAACCAACACACGTTCTCTCTCATCTCGTGTGTGTTCATCGGCGAAGGACGATAACCGTGCTTGGGGAATCTCAAACACCCTACTGTTCGATAATGCATCGACATCAACGTGCCCCAGCATCATCAAGAATAACCGATAAAATCCGGTGGTTCTGTGAAGGTACGACATGGAATTCCATGGTGACACACGACCAAATTGGGAGCAGAAAACTCCAAGAAATCGGAGATGTCGCGCCATTAGCGGAACTTAATCTGACAAATTGGCCATGTGACTACGGGCTGGGTGGCGCAATGGATAGCGCGTCTGACTTCGGATCAGGAGGTTGTGGGTTCGAGTCCCATCCTAGTCGTGAATCTCGACAAGTTATGATAAATACCAATATATTTTTGGTTCCCATCTCGTTTGATGGCTGGCTCGTTTGATTTGGCTCGTTTCATTTCCAGCCATCATACGAGGTGAAACACATTGTCTTTTAGACCCTGACTTTGTTGCCATGTGTCAGTTATCACATCCTCTTCGTCCCGCTTCCTGTTTTTCCTTCAATGTCCTTCACTTCGTTCATTGTGCCTTACTCAGTTTACTCGCCGTCATTTGCTAGCTCACCGGCTACGTCTTCCCGATCCTGTAGTCGCAATCGTGATATGCTGCTCACCGTACACGTCTTCCCGTACCCATTTGGTGTGATTTTGGACTTCAAATGGTATGTTGTGGTATCTCTATGTCATCTTTTCGGAGACCATCAATTACCATTTCCCCTGAAGTTCGGGAGCACGCCGTCAAACTAGCCCCAATGTATGTTTTAACTGGCTGTTTTCGCACATGAAAGATCACATCCATGTGATATCCCAAACCTCCAACCCCTCTACAGATCTCAGTAATATTCTTGCCCATCAATTCTCCGCCATGATGACAGAAAAGCATTTCATCTTCTACCAATCTCCATCGGATAGCAAAAGACGGCTCTAATCTTTTCTCCTCCTCACCCTTCAATGTCCTCTCAAAGCTCGACACACGCGCAGTACACTCATATCTCTTCCAAGTAGGTACACGTCAGTAAACCACACCCCTACCGTGCACCAAATACGTAAGGTGTGGAGTCTCGGCATTACACAACTCGGTCGCATTCACAAAAGTTCGGTACCAGTTCTGCACCGTCGACGTATACTGCCACAGATGCAACGTCGATGTATACTCCGCCCATGAATAAAACTTGCGGTCTTTGCGGAGCAAATACAAAGCAATGTCGTAGCTGTCAATGTATGCGGCGGTGTCCTCCCAGAAAGCGGCCTCAACCCTCTTTATAAACTCGACGAATTGGCCGTCTCGAAGTTGGTAAAAGGCGTTGCCGTTGATGTGCTCGGCGTACGAAGCCACCTCCGCCATCGGATTGCCATCCCGGATAACAGACCCGCGGACCCAAAAGTCTCCCGGAATGATGGATTCTTCGTAGAGGCGGTCCAGCCAATACGGACGACAAGGAATATTGTCTGGCTCCATATAGTAGAAAGAGTCATACGAAGACGCCACGGACCGCAGGCCAAAAATCCGGAAGAACATGCGGGAGGCACCAAGAGGGTACGCGTCCTCCTCTTCTGAAAGACCAGCGTTTGCGAAGCGCACATTTTTGAAGCATTGGGCAATGGCTGGGTTGTTTTGAGCGGATCGTCGGAGGTCCTTTATAAGCTGGGGATGCTTAACGATATCCATGTGGAAGTAAAAAATGAGGTCGATGAATTCAGAGTATTGGCGAGAAGGGTTGCATGGCTGTTTGTGTGGCCAAATCTCTTGAAGGTTGCGGAGGACGAGATCGGATTGCCATGCAGCGAAGGGCACGATCAATGCAAGTTTTGCGCTCGGTCGATGTCGTTCTAATTGAGCATCTCTCAGAACTTGGCACCCAAAAGGTCAATGAAATGACGTTTGTCATGTGAGAGTTCCATCGTTTCCAAATATCAACTGTTGTGACAAGAAAAATATCGAACAGACCTATTACAGATACTCTTCGCAGTGAGTTTTGAATGAATGACAGAACCCAGATCGAGCAGAAGGCGAAGGTCAGAAAGAGTGCGAGATTCCAAATGAGCAGCACCTTGCTGCGATGGTTGCGTGTCACTCCTCCTCCCATTCTTGCGCATCGGTATTCGAACAGTCTTCAACCTCTTTGGTATTCTTTAAAGTTCTTCGTGCTCGGTTTGCTGGCACGGTGGTTCTCGTCGGACTGTGGCCATCACCGATCTTGAGCGTCGGGGTGTTAAATTCTGGTTACACATCATATTGCCATAAAAAGGTTGTGTTTGGTGCTGTGTGGGTGGTCCAACAGTTGTTCTGAAGTTCCTGGCGGTTCTCTCAGAAAGGAGATTTCTACGTTTCTGACTTTTCTATGTTCTAGTGAGATGTGGAGCTAACTCAAGCTTGGGCCAATTTCGGAAACTCCAGAAGCCGGTTTTGAGTGTTTTGGTGACGTCGCAGAGATGCTAGTGAGAATCTCTGGATATGACGACGACCAATTCCGTTTGTGCGGAAATGGTGACTAACAATCTGCTGATGATCGCTCAATTCGTTCGTCTAGAAGAGTAAGAGGTCAGCCTCCTTCCGGAGAAACTTGGACCACGACCGAAGTACCCCATGCAAACTGCCTAGAGCCATTTCTTTCGGTTCTTTTCACTTTTCTTGCAAAGTGACTTGTGGGGATTTCGCTCAGAAACAGACCCAGTACACAGACACAAAGAGCGGGGAGGTGCAGGGGGAGGTGTGGTTTGATGGGTGACGTACATTGGCTGCGCTAGAGTGGTAAAGGCGGTAAAAGTGAGGGTTGGATTTCTCAAACAGCATTTCTACAACGAGGGTATCATCACAACATCAAACCAACGGAAGGGAACTAAGGTACTTCCCATCTTCGTCTATTTTAAAGATCTAGCTTCAAATGTTATCTTATCCCTTTTTACCTCAACCTCTCCTGCTCGAGCTAAACGAAAACGATGACCCATTTGATCCACCCCGCCGCAACCCGAACCCAAACCCTTGCCTTGACGTAGGATGTGCGGACACAGCTGGCGAAGGTGGGCTCATATCCTCTCCTCTCCGTCCAATCACAACAGAAATAGATTGATTTGACCATGACGTTCGCCGGTCTCCATTTGTCATATCGGTGTTTGTTGTCGAGGGTGAAACAATCGCACCACCAGTGGTATTATTCCGTCTAAGTCGTCCGTCACGGAGATTCTGGGAACCAGGTATGATGTGTCGGAAGGAGAGGGATCTCCATGGTGCACCTCGAGAGACTCCACCACCTGCACTAGTAGGATCCCTGCGGTTCCGGCGGCTGCCGTGACGGTCCGGGGCGGGCTGTTCTTGTGCTGTTTCGGACCTGGAGGCTGCTGCTTCGGCTTCGGCTGACTCTGCGAGTAGGTGTTCGGGGGTGGTATCTTGCTTGCAGCAGGGACAGTGTGCGGATTTTGTCGTGAGCCAGGGATCTGGTAAAGATAAAGGGTGGCGCGAGTTCATAGAAATGGGAGATCGGTGGTGAGATTGGTAATCGTGGTAAAATTAATAGTTTGGAGAGATTCCGCATCGGGGATTCCACATCGTGTGGTTGGATACTTGTAAAAAAGCAAAACCTGGGTAGAAACAGAACAAAATCGACACGAGCCCCTTCCCACTCTCCCTAAGGTGCATCACGTTCATAAGAACTTACCAATGCATTCCGCATGGAACTGATGCTGGCACGGTAAAACCCGCAGCTGATCCCCATCGTCATACTCCTCCAAACAAATCGGACACGTATCTGCACTTACACCACCCTCGTTCTCAACCGTCATCACAGAGGCAAACGTGACATCTGAGGCTGCGATTGAGATCATTGACTGGGTGTGAGACGGATTGTCCTCGTCGGCTTCATTTTCTTTTTGTTGGCGGAGACGGCGTTGAAGGGTGGAGAGATGGAGTGTGCTGGTGTTTGGGGGTGGCGCATTTGTTGGATATTGATCGTGTGGGCTTGGCGAATCTGGTGGCGGGACTGGAATATCTTCTGAAACAACGACGACCACAGGAGGCGGTGACTGGTCGGATGCTGCCTCTAGAGAGGTTGGACCGGTTTCACTGTGTGTTTCATCCTCTGAGGGTTGAGATGCAGCTGACTCTGCGGATTCCTGTACTGCTGCTGACGGTGCCGCCAGTTGGTCGCTGAGTTTCTGCTCCTCCTCCTGTTGCAGCTGCTGCTCAACGATCATCCTAGCGACCGACTCATCAATGTCAAGTTTAACTTCAACGCTGTCCAACATACGATCTACATTGATGACGGTTTCGGTTTTGTCTGCAGTCGCCATTTTCGACCCCCATGAAGAGAACGCCCTCTTAAGTGTTCCAATAGACCCCACCGCCTTCAGTTCCTCCTCCTTCCGGCTCCCAGTCTTTCCACCAGTTTCCTTCGTCTTACGCCTTCCCAACAACCTCTTCTTTTTCTTCTTCGCCTCCGTCTCTTTCTTGTCAAAGGTCTTGATTGGAAACGTATCCACCACGCTCTGGTCGATGATGTGCGGTCGGCTTCCACTTCCTCCGGCCGCAGCAGCAGCAGCAGCAGCTCGCTGCGCATTTCGACGAAGACGGTACAGGTGGCAGTGCATTACGACGGAAGTGGCAAAGGAGATGGCAAGGAGAACGACGACGACGATCAGAGTGAACTCCCAAACTCCAGGGAAGAATGTTTCGTTGATCTCCATCGTGACGCGCATTCGGGTTATGTTAGGTTGACCTGGAGTTGTGTCTTTTTCATAGAATAGGAAACATAACGGAAGTCAGAGACGGTCAACCGCATTTCTCAAACTTCGGGAAGAAAAATCTTTTTCTGCCACTTCACCACGGCCACTCCCCTCCGCTGCCTTTGCAAAAGAAATACTGTAGCGTACCATTCAAAACACCGTTCAAAGGCGCCAGTTGTACCGCTAGAACGCTTCCGAAATTCTTGTCAACCGTGAACACTGGAAACGAAGGGGTATCTTTCACCTCCCCGACATCGCTCGGATCCCCAGCCCCGGCGTTTCTGCCACTTGTACTGTTGCCCATATCCGTCACCGCTAATCCCGTGGTATTCACGGTCACACTATATACAATAACGGCCTGCACCATCCCGTTGAAAATGGTTGCCGAATTCGCCGTCAATTTTTGCTGCAACGTGCATGGTTTGGAAGAGTTCATGGAAAGCAGGACGGCGCGCTGAGCTTGCGATGCGATAGTGGGACCCAGGGTGTCGGACAGGTACGTTGGGGAATAAGAGCAGTCGTCGCCGATATCGTGAAGGAGGGCCTTTAAAAACAGACACAATTAGACTGATTATCGCTGAATTATCACAGG